AGAAGGCCTCCTCCAGTCTCGGAAATAGATCCTGACACTTACTATTACTGGCGCCGCATGAGAAGATTACACAATCGTCATCTGAATAAACTCGCAGAAATTGACGGATGGCACAGAAGAGAACACCGAGATGGAAAGTCGCATTCACAGCGAGTTTACGGTGACCTAGTTTATGCCTTAGAAAAGTGGGACTATAAGAAGTCAACAGGCGTTGCGTTGTCGAAGGATTCCGATTCCTCGAAAGCCACGTCATAACTACTTTCATTAGTGCTTGCCACCTGTTTCATTTTCGTCTTTGTACCGTTTTGAGGACAAATCAACTACCATCAGACAAAACCATTATCTTCCAAAATAACCTCCGTCTTATTTCTCAGTTCATGGGAACCGAAATCTATGCGCTCACCCATGGCCCATAGTTTGTTCCCCTAGGACGTCCATATCGCCAGTAACTTTGTATTAAGTAATTCGCTTAATTGCTGTTCTGGCAGTTGTTTTTGAAACAAAAACGAAATCATGTACGTCCTTCTCCAAACACCCAGACTATTGTGGTTCTATCTCAGATAGTTGATACAGGTGCATCCTTTCTTGTATTTGATTCCCATGACTGACTGAATATGTCGAAATTTATGTATCTCCGAACCCGACTAAGTCTGTTTACTTTTCATGTTGTGTAACGCAGATAGTCAGAAAGTCACTCTTCGATGCCGAAAAAACATGCATAGCTAAGTTCAGCGCCGACCTCGTGGGTATGACATGGTATAAGGTAGGCTTAAGGTAGTGTATCCAAAACACTGTAACTACCCGGGGTATTCTTTCGACGTAGACGCAGCGATTACTGAATGTCCTGCCTAATATGCCCTGTACTTAATCTGAGCGATGATACCGGTGACAATTAACATACAAAACTATTGAAAGTTTGGAGACTCATGTCGGCTGGGAGATGTCACCGGCTAACTTAAACCGATTATGAGATACGAACTCGCACGGCAGCTAAGTCTTCAAAAAATTTGGAAATCTCTCCGTT